CGGTTAAGGTGGCTAGACCACACATGGGCAACAGAATAGATCCAGTTGAGTACCTGTGTATGCGTGCCTAAAATCCCAAGAGAAGAAGGGATTGTAGAGTGGCCAAACCCCCTGGGGCTGCTTTGTCACTTTCTCTCTTTCTCTCCAGCGAGCACACACACGCTGTAGGAAAATAAAAGATTCCACAATGCTAAGTAAAGATGATTTCATAACTCAGCTACAAAGCACAAATAAAACAATCCTTTAAATGCAGATTAGTAGATGTACTAAAATAAGACGAGACTCTCAAGATCTTTAGAAATACAACAATTTGATGAATACTAACTAAGCATTTTAAACTTTCTATTATTTTTAACTTTTAAAATTATTTATTTATTATTATTCTCCATTTGGCCAGAGAGAGAGAGAGAGTGAGGGAGGCAAGGAGAGTTAGAAATCAAGCCACCAGGTCCAGGACTCAAACCGTGGTCAGCCATGTGGTGGTGTTCAGTGCCTTAACCACCATGCCACCTGTTGGCCCCCCTAATGAAGCATTTTTTAAAGTACTAAAGATATAAGAGAAAGATTTAGGGAACCAGCAGTTAGCATAATGGCTATGTCGCTGGACTCCCACGTAGTCGACCGTGGTTCATGTCCCGGACCCGGTGGCTTAAAACTCACGCCGGGCGCGTGTGCGTGTGTGCCCAAGATCCCGAGAGGAGAATGGAGGAGAAGGGATTGTGGCGTGACCATCCCCCCTGGGGGGTGATTTCTCGCTTTCTGTCTCTATGTCTCTCTCTGTCTGTCTGGCGAGCGCACGCGCCCTACAGTGAAAATCTCTCCAAAAAAAAAAAAAGAGAAAGATTTAGAACCATAGAGAAACAATAAGGCATTACATAATAACAGAAATCTTTGAAAATATAATTTCTAGAATTGAGAAAAATGATTGATAGTAAAAACTCAGTAAATAATTCAATATGCAATTAGACACACTTGAAGAAAGAATTTGCAGAATAGAATATCTATACAAAATACAGCACAATTAAGAGCATTTTTAAAAAGATCAATAGACATGGAGAATAGAAAAGGAAGTCAAACATAGAAGTTTCAGAAGGAAGATTTAGAACAAAAGTTAGTATCTGAAGAAATAACGGCTTTAGGGGCCAGCATTTGGCATGGTGGTTAAGGTGCTGGACTTCCACCTGGTCGACCTCAGTTTGAGTCCCAAATCTGACAGCTTTAAAATCATCCCAGGCATGTGTGTGAGCATGCTCAAAATCCCAAAAGAAGAATGGAGGAGAAGAGATTGTGGTGTGGCCATCCCCTCTAGGTGATGATTTCTCACTTTCTCTGTCTCTGTTACAAAACAAATGTCATGAAACACTAAAGAATCTGTATCATACAAAGCATAGGCTCTGTCCACAATACAATACAATGAGAATTCAATAACAAAATTTAACAAAGTTATAGACACTTGGAAATTTAAAAACATACTATACGTACCAAAGAAGAAGTCATAATGAAATTAGATAATATTTATAAATAAGTGAAAATGTAAATGCTATGTACCAAAATGTGTGACATGCAGTTAAAGCAGTATGTAATGGGAAATGCATAGCCTTGATAAATTCATGGATCTTAAAGCTGGTCCTCAGACAGCAGAAGGACCTGGGAACTTGAAGGAATGCAAATTTCAAGCCTTATCTAAGACCCACTGAATCAGAAATTCTGAGTGTGGAGTCAAGAAACCTATGTTTTATCTAGACCTGATTCATACTCAGATTTGAGAACCGCTGATATAAGTGCACATAAGAAAAAAATGGAAAGATTAATAACTTACACATTGAACTCAAGAATTTAGAAAAATGAAGATTTGAACCAATGATAGAAAAAAATGACAGAAGAAAGGAAACAATAAGGTTTCGAATAGAAATTTCCTTTACAATCTATTTCAATGGCTTAAATTCTATGCTAGGACCCCTCAAGAAATATTGTCTTCACTTTTACACTACGATAATCTTAGTTTTCCTCCAGAATGACTCTGATAAAAGTTGGGCAAAAAGAAACTAATACATAAAAGAATATTTCAAAGTATCTCTTTATGGATATCTATGTAGATATGTGTATACATGTTTTTCTGAATCATTAGAAAGTGTACAAAATGACTTCCTTGGATTAGGTGGTGGCATAGGGGTTAAAGCAGCTGGATCCTGGGACCAGCAGTTAGCGTAATGGCTATGTCGCTGGACTCCCACGTAGTCGACCGTGGTTCACGTCCCGGACCCGGTGGCTTAAACTCATGCCGGGCGCGTGTGCGTGCGTGCCCAAGATCCTGAGAGGAGGATGGAGGAGAAGGGATTGCGGCGTGGCCACCCCTGCTGGGGGATGATTTCCTGCTTTCTGTCTCTATGTATCTCTCTGTCTGTCTGAACAGCGCACGTTTAAAAAAACCTCAAAAAAAAAAAAAAAAAAAAAAAAAAAAAAGCAGCTGGATCCTGTAGCCCAACCGTATGGTTTGAGTCTTGTTGGAGCCAGCAGCTTGAAAAACACATGAAGTGTGTGTGTGTATGGGTGCTCAAAATCCCAAAAAGAGAAGAGACTGCAGCATGACCATTCCTCATAGGTGGTGATTTCTCACTTTCTCTGTCTCTCTCTGTCTAATGCACATTCCTTATGGCCAAAAAAAAAAAAAAAAAAAAAAATTCTTTGAGGAGAAGGACGAAGTAAGAATAAAGGAAAGTTTTAACTTTTCCTTTTTAAAGTTTATTCATTTGATCCTGAAAAAGAGATTGTGGACACGGGGAGAGAGAGAGACCTTCAACAGGGTCTTCATGCCCCAGTCCTTCCCCCAGCCCCAGCAGCCAATCAGGGCACTTC